GCAGTGCTCGTGGCGGCCAAAGGCATCTGGGTGGCCATAGTGGTCGGCGTGAACGTGTTCCTACCCACGTTCACCTCTGCCTTCGGCCGCTATTTGGTGGCATACCGGCTACGGCCCGAGGGGCACGGCAGTGAGCCTTGTCCGCAAGAAACAGGCACGGCGCCCCAAAATGGGCCCCAAAAGGGTTTGCCTTGCTTCGGCTGAGCACGATGCCCAGAGATTTCTGTTCCCGAGGTCCTTCAGATGGACTTCCTTCCCTCAGGATCTCCACCTGCCATCATCGCCATCATCCTCACGTCGATCCTCCTCTGCTTCCTTTTCGCCATCGGAAGCTGGGCGCACATCGCGCCTCGGTGTTTTGGACCATGGACAAGCGTAGGAGATTGACTCTTTCCTGGGCAGCAGAACTTTGAGAAGCTTGAGTGCTCACACCTGTAGGCAGAAGCTTTGCAGACAAAACAATTGTGAGGGGAAGGGAGTTTAGTCAGGGGTCGATCCTTTCTGGCTCTGGGAAGAACCTGGCAGAGGCATCACGGCATCTGCTTTTGCCAGCTCAGGTGCGGACCCGCAAGGAGCCCTTCCAGCAGCACGTGGCCTACCTGATGGCCTCGTACAAGCCCAGCTGTGCAGCTTGGGAGGATGGGCGAACAAAACACAATAGGACTTAGGACTACACCCCAAGATGCCCCATGTGCCCGCATCGTGCAGCATCCGCAGTTCTTGCGACATGGTCGCCTGGCCGGGCTGGCCCAATGCGGGGTCATGCGCGTCGCAGACGAGTCCTATGGTCTGTGTGGGAGGGGCCCGCAGCCTGGAAACCCCACGGCATCGGATTGTGGCTTCTCCAAGCGGTTCGGGCAGGTCCACAACGGAGGGCAGGGGTGGTGGCCCACAAGTTTCTGCGAGACCAGATCAGGGTCTGCTTGTTCGAGACGCCTTTTTCGGCCAGAAGCCGGTTAGAGTGGTAAAGGGTCCTTGCCGCGCAAGTTATGCCCCAAGCCCCTTCACGCTTAAATGCCTGTTAACAGCCCTAGACCGACCAACTCTTAACCCTCAGCCCCAAACCCACCCTAAATTCCAACCCTGAACCCAAAAAACCCCTTAAGCCCCTAAACTTAAACCCCCTATACAAAGCCCGCTCGACCACAAAAGGAACCCCAAAACAAGCAGCCCTCCACAGGTGGAGCGGCTGTGCCGGAAGATGCTTCTGGGCCTCGTGCCGGCGCTCTTGCCTGTGTCCATATCCCCAGAACCTTGGCCTCAATGGCCCCAAGTCCAGAAAAGGGTTAGGGTTTCGGGTTTCGTGTTTAGGGTTTTGGGTTTCGGGTCTTGGGATAGAGGGCTGGTGTTTTTTGTTAAGTTCCTCTTTGGGCCGAGGGATTTTTCGGGGTTGGCCCCGGCATCTGGAAACACAGTTGTTCCAGCCGAAGCTTGGTTCCTCCGTGCCCTGCCGTTTTTCTTTCAAACCCTAAGCACCCGAAACCCCAAGCCCTAAGCCCTAAGCCCTAAGCCCTAAACCCTAAACCCTAAACATCATAAGGGCGGGTTGGAGAAAGGGGCAGAGGCCTCTTGCCTCTGGGAACGGGGGGGGGGGGGGGGGCGGTTTCGTGGCATCTGGAAATCCGAGGCGCTCCAGATGGGCGCGGTGAGCCTGATTCTCATCGCATCCTTGTTCCTCTATGTCCACTACCAGCCATACAAGGCCCCTCTCCTGGGTCCCAGGTCCCAGGTCTGGTTTTAGATGCTGGAGTTGTGATTTGCTGTCTGAGTTGTGGGCTTTCATTTTCGTGGTGGTTTCGGCTTTTGATCGCGGCTGCCGGCTTTGCCTGGCGGACAAGGCCTTCCGCAACCACGGGCACTAACGCAGATGACACGCCCGTCATGTACAAATCGGCCCCTTCTTGCCTTCACAAAGCGCCTTTACACATCATACACTAGCGGGAACAAGTGACACACGTTCATACCAAAGCAGACATGACAAAACACCAACCCCCAAGACAAAAGCATGCGTTGCATAGGACAGCCAAGAGAGATATTAGCCGGCAAGCTCTAGAACCGAAAAGGAGGTGTTGGCTGGCAAGCCCTGAACTTTAAACCGAGAAGGGGATGTTGTTGGCTAGAGGGACAAGCCGACAAGGCCGCCTAAATTTTCTGGAAGCAAAGCACAAGTCCTGAGCCCTGCAACAAAAAAGCCACGATCCCAAGAGCCCAAAAGCCCACTCGCGAGCCATCGCCAGCAATAAAGCTTCTTCCCATGCCCTAAACTCTAAAGACCCTAAACCCTAGAGGCATCAGGGTTCCTGGTGTGGGGCACCGGGTCAAGAGGGCCCGTTGCGAGGGACTTCGTGCCCTGGTGTGGAATGCAGGTGCAGTTTAGGGTTTAGGCTGTAAGGTTTAAGGCTTTGTTTAGGGTGCAGGGTTTTAGAAGCCTTTAGAAAGGCTTCGGCAACCGTCTGTGAGTTGTTGTGTTTCCTACCGCCTGCAAACACTAGCTGTTGCCAGCCGCTTCGAGGAGTGGGGTATTGATGCCCAAGCCCCACTGGACAATGGCAAGTTGCATTTGGGGTTTAAGGTTTAGGGTTTCGGCATGTGCCCTGGGCACCCCCCTACCGTGGGTTGACCCAAATCATGGCCAAGCGACCCCCTAAAACCCCTAGGGAAACCCCCCAATTCTTGCCTCACGCCCCATCAGGTGGATTTTTGGAACCAGCTCGAGATGGCTCTTTTGTTTGTGGCATTGGCCATAATGACCATGACATCGTGCCGCCCGGTGGCAAAGCCTGCTCCCTGAAAGGCTGCAGTGCACATGCGCAAAGACCTCGACACGGACCCGCCGTACGCTCCGCAGTAAAATCACACAGTGTGTACTATTCGACAAGACCCTGCAAAGTACCATAAAGTACCTATGCCAACGCCTAGCCGCAGCACGGGGGAGAACTTTCGAAGTAATTTTTAGCCAAGGCTTGGTGGCCAACGACTTCCATTGGGCCCACTCCGGCGCCGTGCAGGACCAAGCCGACTTCATGTTCTGGACTGCAATGCGCTCGTATTCGGGCCTTCTGAGGGCATATGCTGAGAAACCCTAAGCCCTAACCCCAAACCCAAAACCCTGAACTGCGTGAACAGGCCGCCCTGCTTTACATGATCTGTGTCCTTGCCTCGGAGCCTCGGCGTAGAGCCTTCACTTGGCCGCCTTGGCCTCGGGAAGGCTCCGGCTTTTCGTAATTTGGGGGGCTCGCAGGATTCTCAGAAGAGGCTCTCGGTGAGTTTTGGTAATTCAGGGGTTGGGTGGACGTTGAAGAAAGGGCTGTGACATCCATATGTGAACATGTGAACCTGCCGTGAAGCCCGCCATGCGAACCACGTGCGCGGGCCGTTTGGCGTCGCTTTGAGCCGCTTTTGCTCAGGGCGTGTCGACCGCCATGATCGTGGCCATCGCCCGGGCCCTGTACGACGAGCGCCGATGAGCACCGCAGTGAGCGGCCCAAAGCGCTGGATGTTGCGAGGAAAAAGAAGGACCGAACGGGGGGGTGGCGCGATTTCTTGGGGGGTTCTCCTAAGGAACCCATGAAGCCTTGTATCCCTCTCAGGGACGCTGCAAACGCTACTCCAAGCGAAGAATGTCGAAGAACGTTCCTAAACAGGCTTAGCGAAGCTTGGCGACCGCATCACTTTTTTCGGTGCATACCTGCAAAGCCCAGCTCAGGGCTGTAAGGAAGTGCAGTAGTTTGCCCTTCGAGACGACTCCCCCAAATGCACGCTTCAAGGCAGCATCATCCACTCTGACTTGGTGACCAAGGGGGGCTGGATTTGGATTCAGGCCTCCCATTCGTGAATGTGGCTTTGGTCTCATCGGACACGCTGCCACTTTTCAGCGTTTCCGGCTTTTCCCATAAAGCCGATCTGTTTGCGGGTTACGACTCCCAATGTGACGAACCGCCAAGAGAACGGCGACCAAACAAAGCCGCACGAGATGCCACTCTGGTACCGCGCGCCCCTTCTTTTTCTTACAGGAGAGGAAAGAGTCAACCGGGGCACAGGCAAGCCTATCATACAGCCAAAGTGCCAGCATAGTTTGCCTCTAGCCACTACCCAGGGAGCTTCCCATCTCTTTTCTTCAGGAATCCTGAATTTGAGACCTAAATCCTAAACCTGATCCCCAAACCCGAAACCCCAAACCCTATATAAACCCTAAACTAAACCCTAAACCCTAAACCCCAAACCTAAACCCTAAACCCCCCCCCCCCCCCGATCCGATGCCGCGGTGGGAAGCCGTCCGCCTCCCGGGCGCTGTGCGCGCCGAGGGAGCGCGGCGGGCCGGTCTGCTGCAAGGGGGCGCCCTGGTACCCGTGGCCTCTTATCCGGAAGGTTTAGGGTTTAGGGTGTAGGGTTGAGGGATGAGGGTTGAGGGTTTAGGGCTAGGATTTGGGGGTTTAGGGTACCACTGTGGCAGAATCCTGGCCATAAACATTTTGGGGATGCTTGCATGGTATACAGTATGCCTAGATAGTTGTGGTATCGGGTGCCAAGGGCCAGGATGGTCAGGTTTTTTCCACGTGCAGCTCGGGCAAAAGGACGCATGGCATGCGTGCTTCTTGCTCTTTTCCCGCTATTCCCTAAAAATAAACCCTAAACCCTAAACCCCCTTCCGCTCTTCCTGGTGTGCGCATGGCTTTTGAGGTAGACGATCCGCTGCTGCTGCGCTGGCCGCCCCCCAGGAGGTCCGCCAAACAAGGCCCGGAACCCAACAAAAATCCTGCCAGCGGCGCCGCCGGGGTGCCCTAAACCCTAAACCCTAAACCCTAAACCCTAAACCCTAAACCCTAAACCCTAAACCCTAAACCCTAAACCCTAAACCCTAAACCCTAAACCCTAAACCCTAAACCCTAAACCCTAAACCCTAAACCCCAAACCCTAAACCCCAAACCCTAAACCCTAAACCCCCTTGAGAAGATAAGAGGTCCGTGACAGCAAAGGTGTGATCGACTTGCGGAGCCGAGATGTGTCGGGTTTCTCAAGCTTGAAGAGGTGTTCTCAGAAGAGCGAGTTTAGAGGGTCATGCGAATTCTGAGTATCTCATGACTATGTTATAGCTGCAGTATGATGTGGGCATAGTATATAACTGTACTCCTATATTGCGTCGTTATTATCTTATTACTAGGTCACTACATTATGTAGCTCTGCGAGAGGCGGGCCAGTGACCTTCAAGCGGCCCCTCGAGAAGCCGCCTGACCTCCGAGCCGAAGAAGCGCGAGCGCCGAGAGCGCTGCAGGTTCCCGAGGTTTTGGTGCAGGAGACCGGAGGTTTGGGGTTTAGGGTTTAGGGCTAGGGTTTAGGGTTTGGGGTTTAGAGGGCTCAGGGTTCGGGATGTAGGGCTTATAGGGCTTAGGGTTTAGGGTTTAGGGTTTGGGGTTTAGGGGATGTTGGAAGGTGAGGGCCTCGCAGCAGACATGATGTCTTTGACTCTAAAGTAGCTCCTCAGCGTTGTGTTTTCTTGAGGAGAGGGAGGCGGCGAAGGATGCGGAAGCACACGAAGAGTCGGAGACCCCCGCGCAAGGCTCCATCCTTCAGAGTCTTGTTTTGCAGCTCCGGCTGTTCAAGGGGCCGCTATGCCCCTATGCCCTACGCACCATGAGGTCCCACTGGAGACACACGAGCAAAGAAGTAGGTCTCTCCTTCCCTCTTAAGAGCCCTGCAGGCAGCCGGGAGCCTGCCTTGCCCTTGGGCACTTTGTCCGGGGAGCTGGTGCCGCGAGAAGAGGCGTGAGAGAGTGGGGCAGACTTTGGGGGGCCCCAAGAAAGTTCGCGTTTGGGATTGTGTTGGGGGTTTCGGGGCCGGTTGCTGTGACCAGAATGTGTCAAGTTGCCGTCTTGTCAAGTAGTTCGACGGAAGAGTTGCAACGGGTTCTTGCAGCTTCATGAGATTGTCCTTCGTGAGCCCGCGGACAGGCGTCGATATCGGCCCCGGACGAGCTGGTCGCTGCTTCGCTCCGCAGGACGGCTCCGACTTTTAGGGTTTAGGGTTTAAGGTTTAGGGTTTAGGGCCAAGGTTTCGCATATTTTTTCCGGGGTGGGGTGGGGGGGGGGGGGTGGGGCGAGAATTGTTGTGAAGGATTTTCAGAGAATGATATATATCACTAGCTCCAACTTTCCATGCGTGGAAGTTCAGCTAAATTCTGTTCGATTGGGTTCCACCCTATAAACCCTAAACCCTAAACCCTAAACCCGAAACCCCTAAACCCTAAACCCTAAACCCTAAACCCTAAACCCTAAACCCTAAACCCTAAACCCGACACCCCGTATTTTGCTTGGCAAGCGTTCTTGCGAGGCGCGCCTTGCAGAGCGGAAGCCGGATGACTTGGCCTCGGGTCAGGTGTGAGCCTCAAGGTCACGATGTCCGTCTTCTTCCATGTGGGGTAGTTCTCTAAATTAGGGTTTAGGGTTTAGGGTTTAGGGTTTAGGGGTTTAGGGTTTAGGGTTGAAGCCCTAATTTTTGAAACTGCCCACGTGGGGCTTTCCGACAATGGGAGTACCCTTTTGTGTCAGAATTTCGCCCTAACCCCAAATTTGAAACCCGAGTTGTGGTCCGCCGTGAGGCTGCCGGTGACGGCGCAGGCAATGCGGCGATTCGGGGACGCGTGGCCAGAGGTCGGAAGAACAGAACATGGAACGCATCACTCCAAATCTTCTTGCACATCCCCTCAACAATAGCAGTAGGAATACTAGTGAGAGATAAAAACAGAATGATTTAAGCACATATATATATATACACACATATATAAGATGTATATACATATTCATATATGTATGTGGGGGACCAAAGATTCTTTTGCCAGGTCCTGGCCCGCTGCATCTCAAACCTCCGCCCTGAGGCTCGGGTGTGTTGGCAGGGTCTGCGAGCCTGCCCCCTGCCCGCACCCTAAAAACCCCAAACCTCCAAAAACCCCTAAAAACCCCCTAAACCCTAAACCCTAAACCGTAAACCCTAAAAACCCCAAACCCCCAAAAAACCCTTAAAGCAACCCCCCCAAAAGCCGCAAGAAGAATGCCCCCCAAAAAACCCCCCAAAAACCCTCAAAGCATCCGCAGGGCCCGGCTCAGCCGGTGGAGGTGGTGGCCGTGCGGCCCTTGGAGGCGGAGCTCTTGGCCCTGGCCGAGAGCCGGGAGAAGGCACAGACGAGCCGACGAAAGCTCTCCTTCCTTTTCGCCGGGCCCGGAGGGTTTCTTCGGACCCCAAATGGTTATATATATATATATATATACATATAACACATATATCTATATATCCACACATGCATATGCACATATATAGAGATTTAGACATGGTGTGGTTTAGTGTAGAGTAGAGAAGAGAAGAGTAGAGTAGAGTAGAGTAGTGTCGCATGCATATGTGTATAAATAAATAAATAAGTAGATAAATATGTATATGTATATATGTATATACATATATATATATATACGTCTATGCAAGTATATGATATGATAGGCTCGCCTTGCTGGAAAGTTCGCAGGTCCAATGCAGGATCGGGGAGGATTCGCTGCCCGCCGTCGGCAGCCTCTGTTGCATGCAGTGGTATGGACACCTGCCTGCATAGACGATGTCTGCTGAGCCCATGTTAAGCATGCTTTGGCCAACAGCGAATTCAGCAAAGCTCCTTATCCGCAGACAGAGCAAGGTGACTTGGTCTCCATGCTAGACCAGGAAGCTCTTTCGCTGAACATGTCGGAGGCTAGGGGGTTTAGGGTGTTGGGTGTTGGGGCGTAGGAGAGCTTTAGGGCTGGTTAGGACGTCATTTCGGATACTCACAACCCGAAACCCAAACCCTAAACCCTAAACCCTAAACCCTAAATCCTAAACCCTAAGCCCTAAACCCTAAACCCTAAACCCCAAACCCCAAACCCTACGTACCCTACTTGTCAATCCAGGGTGCCCTAAACCATAGACCCGAAACCCCAAAGCAACGGATGCTTCCGGAGGCCAGCCTTGGCTGTTGGGTTGTGGAGTTGGCGCTCCAGCCCCCAGCAGCCACCCTGAGGCATTTGGAGCATTATAGCGCTGAGGGTTTGGGGTTGAGGGTTTAGGGTTCAGGGTTTTGGGGGATTTAGGGTTCAGGGTTTGGGGTTTCGGGTTGCGGCCTTGGGATTCAGGGTTTTAGGGTTTATGGTTTGGGGGGTTGAGGGTTCAGGGTTTGGGGTTTGGGGTTTCTTTGGGAGTAGGATGGGGCAAGTTTCAGGGGTTGTTGGGGTGGTTCGATGTTCGCTGCGTGGGGGCTAGTGGGGGCTTGCTCTCCTGCTCAGGCGCTCTCGCATTCTCCCCCACTCAATGGCCCAGTCACTTTCCTCTAAGACGAGTACGCCAGGTGTGTAGGTATCCTCAGCTATCCTTAGCCTCCCTTTGTATTTTAATTGTGCTAAGGCGAAGCTTTGCCTGCGTTGTGAGCTTCGGTGTTTGTGCCTCTCAGGACTGTGACGATGCCAAAGCGTTGGCAGAGAGCATCTCTCAGCATCTGGCGCCCCTCGGAAAGTGAACCTATAGTCCCCCTGGTTCTTGGTAGGCAATGAGGGAATGAGGGCCCTATATACTCCCTGAGAGGGTACAGGGGCCTAAATCCCACAGTGTGTTGAGTTGCTACACGGCGTGGATGTAGAGGACTTCAATGCTTCGACGAGAGATTCCCGCTAACTCGGACCGCTACCCAGCCACCACGCGGCATTCGCTATAGGGGCCCTAAACCTTAAACCTTAAACCCTAAACTCTAAACCCTAAACCCCTAAACCCTAAGGTTCCTCAAGGGTTCCGCAAGCCTGCTAGCGCACAGAGGCGGCCGCTGACAAGCTCAACGGACCCACCTCGTGTCATCGCCGTGGAGGCAGGGGTTTCGGCTTTGGGGAGGAGAGCAGAGGGGAGGGCTTTGGGGTTTAGGGTTTAGGGCGCCGCGGGTTCCGTTGGGGTTTCCGTGTTTTGTTTGGATTAGGCCGGCCGGGGAAAAGATCGCCTCAGGGCAAAGTCTTCCCGCCACACGTGGACCGGCTCTTCAACCTGCGGGAAGTGGCCGGGAGCCTCAGCGTGTAAGCGTGTTGTATGTAGATGTAGATGTAGATGTAGATGTAGATGTAGATGTAGATGTAGATGTAGATGTAGATGTAGATGTAGATGTAGTGGATGCAAATGTAGATGTAGATGTAGATGTAGATGTAGATGTTAGTAGTAGTAGTAGTAGTAGTAGTAGTAGTAGTAGTAGTAGTAGTAGTAGTAGTAGTAGTAGTAGTAGTAGTAGTAGTAGTAGTAGTAGTAGTATTATTAGTAGTATTAGTAGTAGTAGTAGTAGTAGTAGTAGTAGTAGTAGTAGTAGTAGTAGTAGTAGTAGTAGTAGTAGTAGTAGTAGTAGTAGTAGTAGTAGTAGTAGTAGTAGTAGTAGTAGTAGTAGTAGTAGGTGACACGCTCTTGACTGATCATGGTGTTTTCTGCTGTTTTTTGACTTTTTCTATCGTTTTCTCTGGTTTTTTCTGCGTTTGACGGGTTGGGGGGGGTGGGGGGGGGGGTGGGGGGGGGGGGGGGGGGGGGGGTGGGGGGGGGGTGGGGGGGGGTGGGGGGGGGTGGGGGGGGTGGGGGGGGGTTGGGGCGGGGTGGGGGGGGGTGGGGCGGGGTGGGTGGGGCGGTGGGGGGCGGGTGGGGTGGGGGGGGGGGGGGGTGGGGGGGGTGGGGGGAGGGTTTGGGGGGGGGGGGGGTGGGGGGGGTAATTACGTGCTGTGCTTTGTGCACACATGGGGGTCGTGCTGGGCTTTGTGCACGCTTGACCACGCTGTCTACTGTTTTCCTCTGTTTTTTTGGTTGGTTTAGGGGCAAGATCTTTTGGGCTCACAGTGGAGGGTTTAGGGTTTGCAGGTACAGATCTTTTGGGCTTTTTTGGGAACCTTTTGGGCTTCCAGTGGAAATATGGGGTTTGAGGTTTCAGCCTACAGATCTTTTGGTTTTTTTTGGCATCTGGGGTTTAGGGTTTCAGGGCAAGACATTTTGGGCTTACAGTGGAGGGTTTAGGGTTTGGGGCTTGAGGGTAGAGACCTTTTGAGGTTTTTTGGGATTTGGGGTTTAGGGTTTAAGGGTAAGACCTTTTGGGCTCACAGTGGAGGGTTTCGGGATCTTTTCGGCTTTTTGGGATTCACAGTGGAGGGTTTAGGGATCTTCTGGGCTTTTTTGGGATTTGGGGTTGAGGGTTTAAGGGAAGGGTTTGGGGTTGAGGCTGTAAGGTGAAAGGACTTTTGGGCTTTTTCTATGGGATTTAAGGTTTAAGGGGGTGCACTGTGGGACTGCTTTGTCATTCAGGGTACACATGGGGTTTGGGGTTTCAGGCTCCAGATGTTTTGTGTTTTTTCTGGGGACGTGCTTGACGCTGTGGGGTTGAGATTTTAAGGGTGCACGACTCTTGGGCTTGCTTCAGGTTTCGGGGTTTCGGATTTCAGGGTGCACGACTGTTCGGCTTGCTGGAGGCGTTCGGGTTTAAGGACAAGTTTGGCCACATCTTAGAAAACCCGCGAAACGCTGTAAATACCGGTCTTTTCCTCTGTTCTGAGAACACGTCTGCGCAAAGTAGGCCCTGTAATTGACCGTTTTTGAAGCCCGAAAACACTGTAAATACCGATGTTTTCCTCCTGCGCCTAAAGTAGTTGAAAGTAGTTTGCGGGACTTTTTACACGTCCATTTTTCGTGTCCGTAAACGGACAAAGCCAGGAAACACTGTAAATACCGAGGTTTTCGTCTCTTAACACGAAAATTGCACGCCACAAAACCCCTGCGATCAATTAAGAACGCGACGCCTAGTAGTAGTAGTAGTAGTAGTAGTAGTAGTAGTAGTAGTAGTAGTAGTAGTAGTAGTAGTAGTAGTAGTAGTAGTAGTAGTAGTAGTAGTAGTAGTAGTAGTAGTAGTAGTAGTAGTAGTAGTAGTAGTAGTAGTAGTAGTAGTAGTAGTAGTAGTAGTAGTAGTAGTAGTAGTAGTAGTAGTAGTAGTAGTAGTAGTAGTAGTAGTAGTAGTAGTAGTAGTAGTAGTAGTAGTAGTAGTAGTAGTAGTAGTAGTAGTAGTAGTAGTAGTAGTAGTAGTAGTAGTAGTAGTAGTAGTAGTAGTAGTAGTAGTAGTAGTAGTAGTAGTAGTAGTAGTAGTAGTAGACACGCTCTTAACTGATCATGGTGTTTTCTGCTGTTTTTTGACTTTTTCTATCGTTTTCTCTGGTTTTTTCTGCGTTTGACGGGTTGGGGGGGGTGGGGGGGGTGGGTGGGGGGGGGGTAATTACGTGCTGTGCTTTGTGCACACATGACCATGCTGAGGGGTTGGGGGGGGGGGGGGTGGGGGGGTAATTACGTGCTGTGCTTTGTGCACACATGGGGGTCGTGCTGGGCTTTGTGCACGCTTGACCACGCTGTCTACTGTTTTCCTCTGTTTTTTTGGTTGGTTTAGGGGCAAGATCTTTTGGGCTCACAGTGGAGGGTTTAGGGTTTGCAGGTACAGATCTTTTGGGCTTTTTTGGGAACCTTTTGGGCTTCCAGTGGAAATATGGGGTTTGAGGTTTCAGCCTACAGATCTTTTGGTTTTTTTTGGCATCTGGGGTTTAGGGTTTCAGGGCAAGACATTTTGGGCTTACAGTGGAGGGTTTAGGGTTTGGGGCTTGAGGGTAGAGACCTTTTGAGGTTTTTTGGGATTTGGGGTTTAGGGTTTAAGGGTAAGACCTTTTGGGCTCACAGTGGAGGGTTTCGGGATCTTTTCGGCTTTTTGGGATTCACAGTGGAGGGTTTAGGGATCTTCTGGGCTTTTTTGGGATTTGGGGTTGAGGGTTTAAGGGAAGGGTTTGGGGTTGAGGCTGTAAGGTGAAAGGACTTTTGGGCTTTTTCTATGGGATTTAAGGTTTAAGGGGGTGCACTGTGGGACTGCTTTGTCATTCAGGGTACACATGGGGTTTGGGGTTTCAGGCTCCAGATGTTTTGTGTTTTTTCTGGGGACGTGCTTGACGCTGTGGGGTTGAGATTTTAAGGGTGCACGACTCTTGGGCTTGCTTCAGGTTTCGGGGTTTCGGATTTCAGGGTGCACGACTGTTCGGCTTGCTGGAGGCGTTCGGGTTTAAGGACAAGTTTGGCCACATCTTAAAAAAAACCCGCGAAACGCTGTAAATACCGATCTTTTCCTCTGTTCTGAGAACACGTCTGCGCAAAATAGGCCCTGTAATTGACCGTTTTTGAAGCCCGAAAACACTGTAAATACCGATGTTTTCCTCCTGCGCATAAAGTAGTTGAAAGTAGTTTGCGCGACTTTTTACACATCCATTTTTCGTGTCCGTAAACGGACAAAGCCAGGAAACACTGTAAATACCGAGGTTTTGGTCTCTTAACACGAAAATTGCATGCCACAAAACCCCTGCGATCAATTAAGAACGCGACGCCTAGTAGTAGTAGTAGTAGTAGTAGTAGTAGTAGTAGTAGTAGTAGTAGTAGTAGTAGTAGTAGTAGTAGTAGTAGTAGTAGTAGTAGTAGTAGTAGTAGTAGTAGTAGTAGTAGTAGTAGTAGTAGTAGTAGTAGTAGTAGTAGTAGTAGTAGTAGTAGTAGTAGTAGTAGTAGTAGTAGTAGTAGTAGTAGTAGTAGTAGTAGTAGTAGTAGTAGTAGTAGTAGTGGTAGTCGTCGTCGTCGTCGTCGCCGTCGCCGTCGCCGTCGCCGTCGCCGTCGCCGTCGCCGTCGCCGTCGCCGTCGTAGTAGTAGGTGGAGGAGGAGGAGGAGGAGTCGAGGTAGAGTTCTTTGGCTCAATGGCGTCAAATGAGTGCGATTGCATTACTTTGATGAGGTTTGTGTAGTCACTTAGTCTCACGGTGTTGACCACAGCCATTGTAACTCTTACAGCAAGTATCGCTGTGATGCCAGTAATTACTATAACAACTGTGCATTCTTAGCCATCATCAGTATGCAGACAACTGTCCTGAGCCATATCTCTTTTCCTAGTTGCTATACAGATAGAACCGTCAGAATAAGAAAACCAGTAGAATGATCATAGTAATGATAATCGTCCAGAATCATCGTAATCTTAGAATCGTAAATAACATGATTAAACATTGCTACACTCTAGACCCTAAACTCCAAATCCTAAACCCTAAACCCGAAATCCTAAAATCGAACCACGTGTTTTTCGACTTTGCGCAGGTGCCGCGCCACGTGCGCCGCGTTTTCGCCTGGCCCGGGCGCGCGGAGCCTGGCGAGGCCTGGAGAAGGCGGCAGGTGCTGCGTCCCAACTTTGGCGCCTCGGCTCTTGGCTCGTTTTTTTGGGGTTTTTTAGGGTTCAGAGTTTGGGGAGTGTAGGGGGGTTGAGGAGGGGGAAGGCGAGAGAGAGAGCGAGAGAGAGCAAGAGATAGATAGTCTTTGGAGTCACCTCCTTGTCTTTTTGTTTGTTTCTTGTCTGGTGCGAGCGTTGTTTTGCGAGGTCGTGACGAGGAGTTTCTCCGCATGAATGTGGATGCACAGGTGCATTAGGGCCATTTGGGCCTTGTTTCACCGACGGCCCGGAAAGCGCTGAAAGCCCAGCAAGTGCTGCCAAACCCGCACACGTGGCCCAAAGACCAGGCTCTGAAAAAGAGCCAGGTCAGGGTTACCATGGGTTAAAGCGGTTTCCTGCTTTGCAAGATGCGAGAGCAGGCAAAAGGTGGCGGGATTTTCGGGGAATTCCCTGCTTCTGAAACGGCCGCTGCGGACAACAAAGCGAGGTGAGCGTTTTCCGCCGATGGTGGCCAGCTCGGAGGTCGTGGCCCTGTGTGGCCTACGGCCGGGAAGGCAAGACCAAGTCATTTCGGTGCGAAGTCGATCCTATGGGCGTGCCCATCATGCCTGGATCCCAATCTGCCGAGCCAGCTGGGGGTCTCTTGGTGAAGGGGTGTTGCTGGGAAGACTATGTGTCCGTCCTGTTGAGGCTTTGTGATGACTACTGTTCTCTTTGCTGCGCTGTGTTGTTTGTCCTACAGGTCTTCTTATCTTGTTGAGGATTCACTACTCGTAGATTGTCAGAGTCGCTTTTCAATATTCCGCATTTCATTCATTTCATTCACAAGGATGTCAAGTACTAAGACTTGACTTAAGATGGGGCATGGCGATCATGTCAGAGATCGTGTAGGCAGGTTGAGGGGTAGTTTCAGGGTCGATGAACCTTGCTGGGAGATCTGCGAACACTGCCCGCGTGGCTCGAAGTCTTGGAGTTTGTGCCCGATCACAAAACGACACACTGTACCACACCAGGGCATTTGCGAAAGCCTAACACGACAGGCAAGTCAAGAACATGTCTTGGAGTCACATTCTTGTTGAGACATGTTGAGGAGTACGTCTACCGCAGCGGGTTTCGTGTGGCAGTTCGACGCCATGGACAGCTTCTGCAAAATAGGCTGTCTGGGCATCCAGATTCTGGAGCAGCGCCTGGCTTAGTCTTCCGCTCTGGCTTGCCATGCCTTGCAGCGGAGTCGCTCACCCAAGTCGTGGAGAGCTAGCCGGCTGGATGGAGAGAGATATGCACTCCACCGCCGCCACGGTACCTCGACCACGGAGCCATCGCGGCTTGGCTGTGACAGCTGGCTCGGAGGTATGGCTGAGCGGACGCCGCAGTACCTCGACATACCTCGACAGTAGATACTCCGTCCACAGAGGGGGGGGGATGCAGCAGGCCCGCTGCGCCACGAAGTGAGATTGTTACATCCAACGTGCAGGCCTCATGTACGAGCGCATCGAGCCCGTTCCACTGTGGTTTGAAAGCACTCATTGCCTGTTAGGCGGGCGCTCTTGATCGCGAAATCCCAGACGGGAGGGTAAGGTGGCGTGGCGCTGTCTTCCAGCGCACGTTGCGCCTGGCCGATGCCTCGGCGAGTGACATGTTGCTGCAGCTGCAATGGCTGCAATGGCTGCAATCGACGGCCGGCAGAAGCCGGCCAAGATTGTCACCAGGTGCCGGCCGCAAGGCAGTGCGATTCGAGAGTGCCCCGCTTGCCAAGATTGCCCTGCTCATCTGGCCCAGCGCATGGTGAACGCTGCGAGGGTGGAGTGCAATGCCTGCGGCAGGTGCCAAGTCGGAGAATGCAGCCCCACCGTTTGGGCCAGGCGAAGCCCTGTGCAGGGGAAGCCCACCGGCGCGGTCACTGCCAAGATCCAGACTCTTCTTTTGAGGCCTTGGGCAGACTTGTCCTGCAAGAGTGATGGGCTCCTGAATCCAAGTCTCCTTATCGGAGTTGCTTCGGGGTGTTTGTGGTCTGAAGTTGACGTGCGCTCTACTATGCCGTTGGCAAGTCAGCCTTGGACGATCCCCCATATCCTGACAATTCGTTGAAGAAGGCCTCAAAGAACGCTCCGCCCCGCGCTCCAGGTGGGGCTCTGCAAAAAGCATCGTGTGCATGTGCGATGCCCTCCACATATCACAAGTTTGTTGCAGAATCTGCTTGTGACGTGCAATTGCTACTGGAGTTCAACGCCCGCACATAGCGAGCCGCGGCACGTCAACACGTCGGGGGGTTCTCTCAGCTCGCGTGCACAGGTGCTCCCTGCTCTCAATCACCAGAGCCTAAGCCCTAAGCCGTTTTTGCAAGTATTTTCGAGCTTCAGCGTGGTTTATTCACTATTCCTGGGAAGGAACGGCAACTGTAACTTCTAGAAGGGCTCCACGACCAGCCCCGAGCCAAAACACTCGACTGCGGGTCGGACACCACCGTGGACCCGAGAGGCTCAACAGACTCAACAGGTGACCTCTTTAGCTTTCCCCAGTTTCCGCTCGGTGCTGGGGAGGGCGCAGCACTGCTCTTCCCCGACGGGGAGATGGTGGCGACCAGGTCGAGAGCCAAATGACGGCTGATTAGCATTGGGTAGATGTGGAAGTCGTTTTCGTAAGGCGGAGGTCGTCCCAGTCTCGCGGTGCCCTGTGACTTACGAATCTTGACGCCACTGCACGCCTCACGCCAAGCAGTGTGGATTCTCCATCAGCACTGCTCGTATTTCACCCCGACCTCCCCCCACACCCCCAGCATCCTCAACATGCTAGCCTGCTGGCAGTCAGACATGTTGGACACGGCTCTTGTAGGTCGCCCTAAACCCTAAACCCTAAGCCCTAAACCTTAGACCCTAAACCCTAAACCCTAAACCCTTTGTCGCCTGCTTACAGATCCACAGCCGCTTGAGGCGCTTGAGTCGCTTCAGAAGAGCGCGTGGAGTGGCGCAGGACTAATGCAGTTGACAGAAGACGCGGATCCTTATGTGGCATTCTGCCACGGATTGAAAAGAAAGTGATGGCAGGGAGGTGCTCAGAAAACCAGCCCAAACTTGGCTTTGTTGGGTTTTATTTTGTTCTCCTGGAGCCCATGAGGGCGGATTAGCGGCCGTTGTGGGCGACCTCCCTTAAGCGTCACCTCACTGGTGGTTTCAGAGGTGACTTGGTGTGCTTTGTCAAGTCTGGAGCTCAGCCCCTGAGCTTTAGAGAGGCCTCGCCCCATTGTGTATCCGCACTTCTCTTTGCGATGCGCGGTGGCTTCCATCTGAGAGACTCTTGGGCTCTGGGATCCCCTTAACACGTGCACGTCCGCGTCCCCGAATTTTCTGAGGGTCAGCTGCAAGCCGAAGCCTTGTTGAGCCCTAGAACGGTCGGAGGTCTTCGGGGACTCTACGGCTCGCCGCGGAAAAAGTAAGCAATGCTCTACGCGGAATATCGAAGCACGACTGAGAAACTGAAAGGAGCTCCAATCTGCCGGCAGTGAAGCTTGCGAGCACGAGGTTAACATGCACCTAGGGGACTGCCCTTTGTTAAAACTCAGCGGCTGCTGAATCCACACTGAAACGCTCCTTGCGCACGACGCTGCAAAGTGGTGCTTTTTTGGAGTTCTGGTGCAGTGACCAGACGAGGCATCGTGCTTGCAAACTTTTTTTGCTTCTATTCAGGCCGAGGGTTCAGCCGTGGGGCGTCCGTTCATATGCAACTTCTCCTGTTTTCAGCTTGGACGAATCATGCGTGGAGGAGTCTTGGTAGACTGGCACGCCGTGCAAACTCAGTGACGTCATATCTACACCGGTTGCATGTGGCCTTGGACGAAGTGCAAACGCAGTGAGACTAAGAATGAGCGATGTGCAGGCACGAACTGCTCAACCCTGTGTGCCACATCGTCGACACGGGCAAGCTGCAGGTTTATCACTAGGTCCACATCGAAATTTAGTGAGCCACGTCGCAGGGTCTCGGCCATTGTAAGCCCCTTGCTTTTCCTGCCGAAGGCCGTGGGGGCCTGATGTACGCTGCGCTTCTGGCGTTCTCCGAATGCCCTGGGCTGACGGTTCTTCCTGGCTGACGGCGGAGCAAAAAACAGCAGCAGCCCGCAGCCGTGGCGGCCGTCTCCGTTCCCGCAAGCAAAGCCAGCAGAGCAACTAGCAACGACAGCTTTCAGCTTTCGCGTCTGATGTCGACCTTCCGACCATCCTGCGCTTTGCTGCGATGGCCGTGGTTCGGTCTGCATGTCTGCAAGAATAGCCCGATCTCTGACTTGAACAGCTCGCGGTATGGTTCCTTACGCCATCGGATCACACCTGCGAGGGTCCTGGCTTTGCTCGAAGAACCCTTGCCTCGCAACTTTCATGCCTGGCTTGGCCGACTCTCAGGCTGATTGTAAAGAGAATGGGGCAGTTTCTGCGTTCGTTTGGAGCAAGACATAAAAGAGCGGATGAAGTTGATTTTTTACCTCTGAGCACTGGGCCTGTGAGCTTCGGCGCACTGGGTGGCTGTGATGAAATGGTGGTGTGCAGTCGCGCGGCCCCTGGATCCTGCGCGCAGCCATCATCGGCTCTCATGTGGTCCATTGTGGTCCTGCCGGGTCCGATGCAACTTCAGCCCCCAGCTGCTCCCACGAGGCTCCCCACAGCCCGCAAAGGTTTGCCGCCAATCAGGCCGTCTCCTGTGCTCTGCTCTGGGGGATCAAAAAGTAGGAAGTCTTAAGCCATCGCTGGGTTTTGGGCAACAAAGCTTGATCTCCATGCCAACACTTGCTTGGTGCTTCTTCGATCGCGAAGCTAGTTTGCTCACTTCTTTCTGCCAATGGTGCTGTCGCATTCTTGATGGACCTACCAACCACACAAGCAGATCCGTTTTGCGTGGGATTGCGGCAGCCGCTGGTTATGGAGCATCCTTGAAACGCCTGTAAGCGACGGGGTAGGTTGGCAGACTGCGCATGTTGCGAGAATCAGCCGCAATCTGTCAGCAATGCCCGATGGCAGGCTTTGGCAGCTGGGTGGGCTTGGTCGGCCTGGTGGAAGAGGGCTGCTGCACACGAGCACTACTGCTTTGCTTCAAGACTTTGGTACGTGTGTTGCACGTCGAAGTATCCCTTGGCAGCGCTTGCACCAGCCATCTGGTGGTGCTGGCGCTGTATGCCGAAGCCTTGTGCTTCTTGTTTCCCAAGGTGCAGAAGAGGGCGCGGACAGCGAACTCGTTGTGGAGTGCGCTCGCATGCTGACCTGGCCCGGGGAAGCGCTAGAGGGTCCAGATGCATGGCGCAGCATGGCGCCCACGCTGGCGTCAACCAAGCGCCGCTTGCATTTCGACCTGCATCCACTGGCAGCGCTGTTCTCACTCCATGTCCGACTACGTATAATGTCTTGAACAGGCACAGGAAGTCAGCTGCGTTCTTTCAAGATGTTGTGTTCCATGCCACTGGTCCAGATTTGACTCTCGTGCCAGTTGCCCGACACCCAAAGTTGTGACTCGTTGGCATACATCGTTCCACGTTGTACCCTTCTTCCATTCCTTTCAAGTTTCTGGAGCCAGCGGCACGTCCAAGTTCGGATGCCGACCAGAACCATGGACCCGTGTTAGACTCGCTATCGTAAGCTGCGCAAATCAAGGGAGGTTGCACAAAAGGACCGGCGCAACAGCCGCGCCCTACATCTAGCTTGGAAATGCAATGCCGACAGCGAAGTGATCCCGGTGTGCTCTTCTAGCCGTGCTTTTGTGTCGGCCTACGTGCTTCAGTTGGGCCTCAGATTCCGAACTTTGAAGGGTGACACGGGTGCCCCTGTTCTTGCAGCTGAGGCCAACATATCGGCCCATGCAGCGTGACGGTGTCCCTGCAGTTGCAGTCTTTCACCACTCGGGTTGGGGCAGGTTCCCCTTCGTCCCATCGGAAGAATGGCATGGCAACATAAGCTTACAAGCCGGCCCGCACACGCGCACCCTCTCCAGGTTGAGAGTGCTCTACGTAGCCGGCCATCCCACGGATGCCCGAGTGATGCGACGACTTGCTCTGGGAGGTGTGCATCTCTTGGGGCCCTCTTTCCGGCAACGTACCCGTCTCCCCACCAGTCCCTAGTCCCTGGCGCAGGGCTTGGTGAACATCGCTGGAGTGAAGGTCCACGAATATGCGAGCTGAATGACAGCTCCTGCAGCTACTCGAAGCCGGGGGTCTCCACGTCCAGCTCCAAGGCTTGCAAGCCCTGCGCCCTCAGGGCCGTGGGATTCTTGGCATGGAGGCGTGACAGCAGTCGGAGCTCGCGGGTGTGGTGTGTCTGTTTCGGTTTGAAAACGCCGAACTCCACAATAGGAGGCTTGTAGCCACGTGCCCTTGCGGCACACGCTGCAGCTTTCCAGTTCTGTGGGTATTCCATGATTTGTCGCTTGGCCCCGTGCCCTCGTGATTCCACAGCAGAAGGCGTGGGAGTTTCGCCTGCCTTGCGGCCTGCGAGCTCAATCGTTGAAGAGTCTCCACAACGAGAAAGGTAGCCGAGAGCCTTCTCTGGGCTGCTGCTTGGGTTGCTGCTGTTTGGGTTGCCACAGCACGATGCATGCTCCTTTGCTCTCGGGACGCTGCAGCTTGACCGTGCGGGTGCCACTTCAGCCCCATGCGAGCACACCTGCCTTGCCTTCCCGGGCGACCTGCCAGGTACGGTCCCTGTGGATGGCGCAGCATTCACCGACCAGACCTTTGGTGTCTCTGGGGTTCTCCGGGTTGTTGGGGTTGAGATGGCTCAAGTGGAGCTTGCTAGTTGGCCTTGTGAGGGCAAGCGCCTGTGTGGGCCTGGTGTCCTGTACGCAGAGTGAAGAATCTCGCCAGCACCCCGGCACTCAGAACAGGCGGCGGCAGGAAGAGTCGTTGCAAATAGGCCCTAACGGATTTTTCCATCGCCACGAAGACTCAATTCCAATATCCAAGGGCTACCATCGCTGCGACATGGGCCTGTGTGGGCACAGCCAATGTCGTGGCTGCGGAGTCTCAGCCACAGAAAATCTCAATCCCACGTTGGGCAACTTGTCGTCAACTGTCCCAGCTGCCAATTCTGTCCCGTAGGTCTCAGAGTTGGGCGCCGCTGCTCGAGTCATGTGCCAGGCCGGCGCCGTGGAGGGTGGCGATGAGCTAGGGCGAGGCTGGAGCAGCAGTGGGTTCCTTGCGGGGAACTGGGCCGGGGCAGAGGATGCTCCCTAATTCACACAATGCGAGGGGTGCCTTAGAAGCTATTTAAGAGGAGGGGGGGGGGTGCTGCGAAGTCAAGAGCACTGTCGACCTGGCCTGAGAGACGTTGACAAGATTCAGCTGAGCCCCCGCAAGCTTGCACTGATGCTGCTTCCGAGCACGGAGGCGAGCTTTCCGCACAGGAGCCAGCAGCATGCTCTCAGTGAGCTGCTGCTGGCAGCGTTGCCACCACTTCAGTGGTGAGTTGCTTGCTTTCAGGGACGCGCCGCAAGACTTCCATCCTTGGAAAGTGAGCCAGTCTTATGAAGGCGCCTGCGTGAGGCCTGGTGCGACACTAGCCAGTTGGAGCTTGAAACTCGGTTTCGCGAGGTAAGGTCGCGCGGTGTCTGCGGGTTGTGCGGTCTGGAGTGGCCTTCTGAGCTGAATACGCTCTCAGAGCTCTGGGCCATCGTGCATTCCTTAGATTCCTTCTGCCATGTCAGATCCACAAGAAGCCACTTTGCCCAAGGTTTCTGTCGGTTCTGCCCCCCGCCCGTGATCAGCGCAGTTGGTTTCTTCATGATGCTCCCGAGACCCATTCTGTTCTTCAAACACCACCATTCGAGTGGAGATTTGCTGCGGTCTCTTGTTTCCGCCACATCCGCCAAAGCCCAGCCACCCGAAGCTTTGCTGAGTAGGTTGCTCATGGCGCAACTCCCGCGCTTCAGCCTGACACTTCAGCCTGACAACCTGGGGCCATGCTTTTCCCGTTTCCTGTGGGGAAAGCCGGCCTGCACAGTGTGCCGTGATGGTCAGCTGCGAGATTCAGCCATATGATTCACACCAGAGCCTGGCACAGTTCGGGGGTGCTGTCGGCTTTCCGAAAGAACTCGCTGGTGGTCCCAGATGCCTCCGGTGCAAAGCCTTGCAGCCTTGAAGCAGCGCGCGCTCTCGGCTGTTGCCCCAAGTACCGCTTTGTCGATTCGCGGTTCCATAAGCAGGGATCCCGAAGGGCACAACGGGGCTCAGGCTGCAACCTGGCCGAGCATGCTCAAGCTGAGCTCAAGGCTCAAGCTGAGCTCAAGCTGAGGTCAGGCGGGCTGGGGATAATTTGGAAAGCCGCGGACAGCAGCTGATCGCCTTCGCTCCTGCCGCGCACCGCTGTGAGAACCAGGGTGCAGGGTTTGCTTCGGGCTTAGGAGGATTGGTTGCCCTTGAGAGGAGCCGAACCTTGGAGCTGGCAGGAGTTTTTCGGAGAAGCCCTCGGCTCCCGACCTGGCCTGGTGCTGTCAGTATGTGCCAAAGCTCAGTATGTCGGCGCTACCAGGAGGTGAGTTATCGCTGATGTCTCATTTTTCGGAGGAGACCACGTTGCTTTGCGCTGGCTTCCTGCTGCCCTGAAGCAGCGCCTACGTCATGTGAACCTCTCATGACATGCTTTTTCTAATGTCGCACTTTCCCCGAACTCCGGTTCTGGCGAGCGGCAGAACTGACGACTACCTCAGCTTCCGCATGCATCCGGAAACGACTCTGAGGCCTCACCTGTCTTTCCTGTGTGCTGGTGCACACTTCGTGGTTCAAAAGTAGGTTCATGGGAGATGTCGTCAACGTGGCTTTCACCTCTCCTTGGACTCTGACCTCTTTCCACAGTGGGGGTTGGGTTGAGAGGGAGGTCCCCGAAAAAAGGATCTCCGTCTATTCTTGAAGTGTCGGTAAGCTGCAAAGAATCGCCGACTGGAGAGCTGTCCTTTTGGACTCATGACGGCGTGCCCGCCTAAGGCGAGCCACGACCTTCGCGAAGAAAGCGCCATGTTGGGCATGCGCTGATGTGATCTTCGCGTGGCTCATGACCTCTAGGTGGCCGACCAGTTCCGTTCATGAAGTGCGCTGCATCTGCTTAGTGCCCCCCTTGCACTGCCGTTGCAGAGCTCCGAGAGGCCCTTTGGGGCATAGTGGCAAGAATGGCAACAGAAATCCCAGTTTCAGAAGTTTGCTGCGGGCCGCGTGCACCTCTGGGAACTCGCCTCACAGTAACAAAAGCTCGACTTCGGGCGACGTGCCGGAACTTGTAGCCAAAAAGAACCATGCCTTTACAGAATCCTTGCGGTGCCCCGAAGCTCAAGATGATTATACCCTTGCTATCCCTTGAAAAGACTAGGATTTGGGCGTCTGCTGGGAGTAGGCTGTCCGTACCTCAGCCCACAAGCTCCCGTCGCCCTGCGGACTCGGTTGAAGCTTTAGAGATCACTACTGTGTGAGGGAGCATGAGTGAAAGCGTGAAAGCTGACTTCAGTAGCAGCCATGCTGAGCCCGCTAGGCAAGAACTTTGCGTCCAGTGGCCTGGCAATGTCTGTCGTTGCATCTGCAGCTCCTGTCACGGCCGGCTGCTTTCATGCCACCTGAAGCCGCAGGGTATGGTCTGCTCGCAGTGGATTCCGGCCAGGTCATGCGCAAGTCCTCTCCGTTGCAGGGCTCTCTCGCTGGCCCTCTCAGCTCCGAGCCGTGCCTGAAGGTGGAGAAGCCATGCCCTGCACCGCGGCCACGCTGTTGAGCTTTGATCGCTCAGGCTCGAGTCTGAGCATCCCAAGATGGCCAAGGACATGTCCACCCATGTCCACCCTTCATGCTGACTCCCTGCGGCGCTGGTCTGGCGGGCCGACCAGGCCCGCTGAAGCCTGCGATGGCTGCGGTGGCTGCGGGCGGCGGTGGCACTGTCAGAACAGCTATCTGAGGGCCTGGAAGGTTCAGGAGTTTTTGAGGGGAGGGCCTGCTGGTCCGGGGGCGGGGGCAGCTGTTAATGTTGCGTTCACTTGAACTGATCTCTTTGCGGTTCTAACAATGAAAATGCATTGCGCGCCAATATATTTCATTCGATGCAATTTTGATGGCAGCCCAAGACTCGCGAAGTGGTTCGTGTTCCGTTTCTTTTTTAAATGCGTGCTTGGCTCCCTCCAGCCACCCGGATCAAGGTTCGAGACGTCGTTCCTCACCCATCCTGCTCGAAGCCCAGTACGCGCAGACACCGAGTTGAGGCATGTGCACCGCCAGGCGGTAGACTGAGAGTCAGCAAGGCTGGCATCTCATGAGTTCCTCTCAGGCGGCACCCTCCAAGACTTCTTGGGAGTTTACGGGCTGCCCTTTGAAGCAGCCCTTTTTGGAGTCTATGGAGCAAGGCTGACTCCTTGCTCCCTGGGGCTGCTCTTTTGAGTTTGCCTGGTAGGACTGCAGAGCGCATCTGGTGTTTAGATGTGTTTTTTGGGGGTTTGGGGCTCCGGTCCACTTGGGCGCACATCTTGGCGGCAAAGCCCTGATCTTCGGTGACGACGCCCGTTCTCTCAAGGCTGTTGTTCTGAGCTACCGTTCAAGGCCGAACCGCCGAGCTCATCGCGACCCTGTGCGTCCGAAAGCGAGAAGCCTTGGTCCTTCTGCAAACTCGGGGCTGCGAGGTTGGACTTCGATTATCCTGGAGAGGTCAGAGCCACGCAAGCTCCGGATGTGAAAAAGGAGCACCTGCGGGGTCCCAGGAGCTTGCCGCCTTTGCCACAGAGCCGGCCCATGCTACGGCGAATATCTCAGATCTTACCGGCAAGGGTTGTGTCTGCTGCTGGTGCAACACGAGCAATGGCCCATGCCGGTTCCTGCTATACAGCGAAGTCGCAAGGAACATTCCTGAACCGGCGCCCGGCACGTGGAGAGTTGCCGGCAAGCTCCTTCGCAGCCTTTGCAGGATCGCCCGCGAGGCCATCTTGAAGCCCTGAAGTATGGCTGAGGGCAGGCACGGGCCCTGTTTGGCCTCGTTGTTCGAAAGCCTTTTCGGAGGACGAGAGTGCCATCGAACATGTTGCATGCGCTTGAGGTTGCAGCCGCCCGCGCAGGTGACCTAAAATCGGCCCATCCGCGACAGTGGCGGGTGGAGGCTTCTTGGACTCCCAGTTTCTGTGCAGGACATGCCGGTGTGCCAGCATCGACTGCGTGTTGAAGGTGTGCCAGGTGTTGCGCTGGTCGCCCGAACCCACGTGTGCTCATCCCACGCACGCGCGATCGCACGCGACTAAACATACTAAATGGTGCTCTTCCACCTGATGACTTCAAAGGCCAAGCAATCCAATTCTGCCGAAGCTGCAGCTTTCAGCCTCTTACGAGTTCGCAGAGGTTGAAGCAATGCTTGGAAAGCTCAGCGTTCCAGGACATCCTGCCCGGCTAGGTTCGAGCCCTCGTTGGCGAGAAGCTTCCGCCCAAACTCGCGCCTGGAGCCTCGGTCAATCGCGCGTGGTCACGTAGCCGTCCTGGTCGCCACGAAGATGAGGGCCTGCGAATAGCCGGAGTTGCATGAACCTGTCCTGATGGCCCCGGGCAACAAGGGTCGGAAACTGCCGTGGGGGCGCTGGTGGCTTTCGGCAGTATTCCTGCGGTACTAACTACCGTTTTGCTGGCCTCCCGTCACCGTGCATGTAAATAACCGGAAAGTACGTCTTTCCACAGAGCAGGAAGCTCCCCAAACTTGCTGTAAATCCTGATTGCGCATCAGCCGATGGAAGCCTGCGGAAGTGGCAGGGGAAACCGTTTAAATCATTTTCTCTGGGAATCTACTGCGGCTTGTCCGTGGCTTGAGAAGGAATTCCTGGTGACCTTTCCGCGTAAAGGCTGGTTTCTGCCCCAAGTTCAGATTCCTGGTACTTCGGGCGCTGACCTCGGATCGCAGTTCCGCTGAGACTGGAGACGATGTCACGCCACACTCTTCCAAGGCAGAGGTGACGCCACGAAGGTGCCTTCGTTTCTGGCGCTGTGCCCACGACGGACAGCGCGAGCAGTACTAGCCATGTTGACTCCCAACAAGTGAGGCCGTCCTAGGGGAAGGATCAGGGTCGAGGTGGTGCTTGTGCAGACATGCAGTCGCAACTCAAACTCCCCGATGAGTCGCAGAGCTGTAAGCAAGTGCGTCTCCGTGCCCGACCACATCTGGCTGGATTCTTAGGCCACCGGTGAAGTGCGCAAGCATCTGTGGAGTGTCTTGCGCCTGAAATTTGTGGGCTTCTACAGACGTGGGCACGTGCCTGAGAAGGCTGCGGCCTTTGCAACCATAGCTTGTAGAAGCTGGCCGTCGTGCAGGCCCCGAAATTTGCCCGGGCGCAGTTGCTGATGAAGTTTGGACGGCCAACCGTGCAGAACTTTCGCGAGTCGCACGACAACCACATAGATGCCCAGAATCAAAATGCTCGGGACGCCTCCGTGCCTCAGTGCGGCTAGGTTTGTGGCAAAGCTTGCAGATTTGAAGCCTCCTACAAGAGGTTGTGGCTGCCGGTCCAGCTTTTGGCCTGGACGAAGCCCCGAACGCTTTGCTCCCAGAGGATTATAGAGGGAAAAGGCCATGTGCCCCCAGTTGGCTCTCCTGGCTGAATGCTTCGACCATGTCCTGTTTGTGCATGGCAGCGGGCTTCCGCTGCACCCCGCAGGAGCAAGATTGGGCTGGGCGTCTTCGTATTTTGACTTGCCTGCCGCTGCTTGCCTTGGTCACCTCTCCTTGTGCCTAGAGGGACATGGCCTCAATCGACACGGTTTTGCATTCGTCTCGCAGCTTAGCGATTTGAAGTGAGCATTGTCCCAAATCTGCGGCAGTTTCAGCGGCCTCCGTCTTCTCCGAGTGCTGGCTTTACGTTTTTACCACGGGGCACGCGTCAGGCTTTCAAACATGGTCACCACACTGTGGAGTCCGCCGCTGTGGCCGTGAAGTACATCCGGACTCGCGTTTGAGTCTTTAAATTAAGGGTCGCAGAGCTGGTGGATTGACAACTGTGCCTTCTGGTACCCTAAAGCCTAAGCCCTAAGCCCTAAACCCTCATAAAGTTGCCCACATGGGGGGGAGCCAAGCAGTGCTCCAATTCAAGTCCACAGGTAGCTGAAAGCACCCTGAACCTTCAACCCACTTCGGTGCGACCCAGGCTCACCTGCAGACACCACCTGCGCCATTTCACGTGCCGCCTGTTCGGTGGCAGTGGAGCTTTGGGGCACGATCCCATGCTGAAGGGCGGGCTTGCCGCAGAAGCAGCCCTTCTTTGCCTGTTGTCTTTGCTCTCTCTTGCGCGTGTTTGCGCATGATGTGCTGCGCCTCAGAGAAGATCTTCGCGGCGCTGCCGCGCTGTGTCATGCCACTGCTCCCTAGGCAGACCAGGGGGCAGCACTGCCCGGCAGCAGAGGCAGCGATGCAGGATGCAACCGGGCAGAAGGGTGCCCAGTCTCTAGCTCCTTGCTTGTGTCCGCCTCGTCTCGGTCATGACATGCAGCCGGGATCTGGCGCGCTGCAAGGAAGACGCATGTCGTTTTGTTTCAGCATGTCTGGCTTAGAAGAAGCTACCAGTCTTGTCCATCGAGACGAAAGCCTGTGCGCCAGCTGCTTCGCACCTATGACTCTCCGGTGCAGGCGAAGGCTATCTTGTCTCGGCGGTGGCGTCTGAAACTTCCAAAATTGCGATGCGCCTTCTTTTGATAGGAGCTTGCTTGCCAAAGTGAGCTTCAAAGCCCCATGACCTGCGCGATGCTGCTGGCTAAGCGGCAAAGAGTCGGGAGTCAGACTGAGTATCGACAGTGCCTGGCCATGCCAGCGGCGACGATCGTGCGGTGGCATGGACGTTCTGTGAAGACCTGAAGATCACCTGCATGCAGCCTTCGCTGAAGTAGCACTCGGGTTCCGGAAGCCTGGACTTTCCAACAGACCTCCACTTAGTTGCTTCGGCGATCGTGTCAAGATGCGACAGGGCCTCAATCTGCCTCGAGCTGTAGCGCTCAAAAGTGCCTTGAAGGTCCTGATGCTTCCGTTCCCCACACCGGTTGGGAATCAGACCGAATGCCAGCAGTGCCCGGTCATGCAAGCAGCGACCAGTCACGCAACAGCGCAGCCGGTGAAGACAGGTGAGACGGAACCGTGCATGTACCATCAGCAAGTCCGGAAGACATGCTGCCAAAGAGGCAGGGCCTCGCAGATGTACGGCTCCCGCTTCTTGGCATGAGGCATGTGCGGCATGTGCCTCACCTCCACTTTCCCGACGGGGAACCTCTGCAAGAGTCCTCCCGCCACCATAAGCACCAAGGATTTCAGACCGTCCACCATACAAGCTTTCACTAAGACTTAAAGCCGCGCAGACGCCGAGATGCGCCAAGAGTGTTATTTTACCAGCGGCTTCACCATGAGACGTCCAGCACCCCAGCGCTGATCCCTGTGCGAGGCACGGCTTGTGAGCAGCTGGCTCAGGCGCTGGCCTGCAACAGATGGCAAGGGCCCATCTTCGTGCTTCTGGGACTTCTGGGAAGATGATGGGAACCAGCAGCATCGTCATGGTCACCTCCACGTCGGTGTGCTCCAAGATCAGTACACAACCGGACACTCGTTGCTCAGAGAGGCCATGGAGGGATGCTGGAGGAATGCCGCGTTGCAGCTCTGACAAGTCTCAAGCCTTCCATTGGTCTTTCCTCGAAGAGCTTTCGCATCGGGCGCGTGCGCGCGTTTGCTTGTCCCGAGGGATGCCTGTGAACATGTACTTGCCTGCGCGTGTTGCTCTCCCCCTGTGGTTTGTCCTCGCTCCGCGCTCAGAAGTAGGGCAGGTGCTTTCTCGAAAAGTTTCTTCTTCTTCGCAAGGGGCGCACACGTACGCGCTTGCCTGTGCCAGAGGATGCTTATTTTGAGCATGTCTACACCTTCTGCATTTCCCTTGTGTTGGTTTGTCCTCGCGCCACTGAAGCAAACGACTCGAGAGATTGAAGAGCGCCGCCCAACTGAGCCCACTTCTCAGTCCGGAACTCCTGTCAACACAAAGCTTGCTGCAGAAACACGCACTTCGTGCAGCCCCATAGCGCAAACTGTCAGTCTTTCTCCGGCCATGTTTGCTGTGCGCATTCTGTCTGGGCTTAGGTGGCTGCTTCGGGGCTCGGGCAGCTCAGCCCCCGTCAGCTTAAGCAGTTTCAGCTTGCGAGCTTTCTGCGCGGCTGAGAAGGGAGGTGGCTACTGTAGCATTCGCCCCTGCCAGCAAAAGGAACAGGCTCTGCCTGCTCAAAACAGATCGGCGTCTGCTGGTGCCTGACCTGGCAGAGTGGCTCCAAGGCCAAGAATGCGTTTCCGATGGCCGTCTGTGTTTTTGGCCAGGCCTTGGCCACCTAGAGGTGCTGGCTCTGCTTCTGGCTGTGCTGGCATGCCGCCCTGCATGCCATCCTAGTGCCCGGTTGTCCCTTCAGTTGCGACCAGCTCAGGGAACTTCGGGAGCGGTTCATTTCGCTGTTTGACTTGGCTCTGTCTTTGTTGGAACATAAGCTTCTCCTGCAGTTCTTCGAGAGTGCCCCTTCGAGTGCCATGTGCTGCAGTATGGGTTTAGGATCCTTCCCCCCAAAACCCCCCACGACCCAATGTCTTTAAACACCTCTGCTGGAAAAACCCCAAACCCTAAACCCTAAACCCTAACCCCTCAACCCCTAAACAGCAGGTGTTTGTAGGAACCAGGCTTGCCACGCAGCCCGGGGCCTGGGTGTTTCTGGCAATCGGCCACTTCTCCTTCGGGACAAGCATCTGGCACGAGTCTCCAATAAAGGGCACCGTGAGCATGAGCAATGGTCCGCAGAGAATCTCCGTAGAAACTGCTGCGGCCAGCCGAGGGCGTTCTGCTTCAGCTGCTCCAGCTGCTCCAGCTGCTCCAGCTGCTCCAGCTGCTCCAGCTGCTGTGTGGAATCAACGAAGTTTGCGTCCGCACTTGGTCCGGAGATTTTCTTGGCGAAGCGTTTTTTCCCCGTGCACCCTGAACGAGCCTACTCAGGGCTTACTCTGCAGCCTCTGAACGAACCTCTGCTGGCTCCGGACGGTCCCTGGACTGTGTGGACTGGGCGGACTGGGTGGACGTGTTTCGAGCCATCACTTCAGGCAGCGCCCGTCATCTAGGTTTTCTTCCAGGATCCTTTTGCAATTGTGCAGTCGGCAAAACGCTGCTGCAGTTGAGGTCCTGGAGATGCCTAGGATCTTCCTCAGAAAGTCGGACGTTCCTCGTGCCTCAGATGCACGTTGCGACGTTCTCGGCGGCTTCACAGCGGCCACCTCCAGAAACCCTCCCTCAGTTTCTAGTTCCGCGTCGGTCCAGCCTAAGACCTCTGCACTTGAAGTGAACGGTCGGACACAGCCCAGGAGTGGGTCCCGAAACTGGAGGGGAGAGAGGGCTTTTCGGAGACTCATGGGTGCGACGTGATCAGAGATGACTCGTAGCCAGCGTCACACGTAGGACCAGGACGGGTTCACTACAAGTTTTCAGCTGAGGCACTTGGGGCTCGGGGCTACTAAGGCAAGTAGGAATAGGTCCTTTGAGGCGCTGGAGGCTTCAAGAGAGCAACGCGTTGCCACCGAAGCCTCTCTGACAGGTACCACTTTGGGGCGGGTGGATGGAGGCCCCACGCGGCCCTGAGGAGCCGGCGCAGTTGAGGCGCATGGAAGGGCGCTGAAAGCCAGGACTGCTTAGGACCCCGATGCCGAGCCATGATCATGCTTTTCCACACGGCTCCTCGTGCCTTTTCTCAGGATCTTCCTGCCCAAACTTCCGCGCTTCCGCTCGCTGGACCGGCCCCTGTGCTTTAGGAAGCACCTCCGGGGCCTGGCATGCCTTGCATGCCTTGCATGCCTTGCATGCCTTGCAGCCTGCGCCAGCGCACCCAAGAGTTCGCAGATTTCGCAGAGTTCGCAGAGTTCCGAGGTCTCGATGCCGATTGCGACGACTCCGCCCGGAGCAGCGATCCCGGGTGGGAGTCGGAGCCTCAGGCTGCCGGGGGAAGAACGTGCAGTGAACTCAGGGGAGCGCGCACAGAGCATGTGAGAGCGTGCTTGGGCGTGCTCGCCCCGCTCGCCCCGTCACCTGCTGCGCCTGCGAGATGGCTGCAAACTTGAGAGGCCGCAGGCTTCCAAGGGCTCGGCTGTGCGGGGTGTACCTCGCTCTCAGGCGACGCGAGAACGGAGCACTGCGCAGCTGCTTTCGACAAAAGCACTTTCTGGCGTGCACCGCGTCAGTAAGCTCTGGAGCACCAGGGCAACACAAGAGGGCCGGCCCTGGTGCCAACTGCTTTGTCGGTGGCTGAAATACACAAGTGTGATCCAACCATCAGCACCTCAAGACAGTCGCCCGGTTCTTGCTTGACTGACGTTGCAGTAGCATGCCTTCGGTGTCGCTGCGGCACCCCGCGATGGGATCATGTTGAAATCCTGCTTTCGGCCGCCCCTAGCAATGTTGCCTTCCTCAAGACCCGTTCTGGCCGCCGATGGAGGATCCGGATCCACAGATTTGCAGCTGGCTGCCCCCGCTCATGTCCAATGCTGCACACCTCATGGCTGCATGGCCTTTTGAGACGACCAGAAGCTTCATGGAGGCCGCGGAAGCAGATGTCACCTACTCTGAGGATCCTGCATTCGGCAATACCCTCAAAACCTGTGCCCCCATGCTGCAACTCGATGACTTGAAAGCGGTTGGCGTGGGCTCACAAAAAGCAGACGCCGGGCTACGTTGCAAAGGGCCTGGCTTGCGCCATTTGCGCCGGTGGACGTGGCCACGTTAGTGTGACACAGCGAACGGCTTCCACATCTCATCTTTGGCTACGCTTGGACGGCGAAAAGGCAACCCCTGAACTTGCCGCCATAGCTGAACCAGGCGCCCCAGGCGCGTCCCAGGCGCGCCAGGCGTCCCCTCTGGCTCTTCTGGGACACCTCCCCGCGCTCAGGCACGGCAGCTCGGTGCCGCCGAGGACTGCGCACAAGATCCTTTGTGATTGTGGACGAGATAGTGAGTAGTGTTCGATGTGCAGGGGCAAGCACCCCACAAGGTGACCACCCATCTTTCAAGAACCCTCAGATGCTTCATGGCCCCCGTCACTCGACGTCACGCGAGTTGAGTTGACAAAAAGGCGGCCGAAGCATCTTGTCAAAGACAGTAGCATAGCTTTCGCGCATGTCTTGGGAGGCTCCAGGACTCGATCCTTCCGCATGGCCTCGATTCCTAGCTCGCCTGGGAAGTCTTGAAAGTCTTGAAGTCTTGAACGGCGGGATGTTCAGCAAGCGCTTTCCAGCTTTGAGCAAAGCTGCCCCCCTCCCTGCGTGTTGTTGTGCTGATGCAATTGGCACTTTGAACAGAGACACGAAACCTAAGCGCTTTTGGGGTGACAGCTTGACAGGTGCTTGACAGACAGCTTCGCGGCGCGAATTGACGCCGACAGCTGCGTGACAGGAAGTGACATGCCTAGTGGGGCGGTGGCGCTGCAACTGGGGCGCTCGCGGCGGCTAGCGGCTCGGTCTGGCGATGTGGGGGCCCTGCGGCTGTTGCCGTGTTGAGCCGTGTTGAACTGTTGTGTTCCCGGTTGTTTCCCAGTGCAGAGCTGCCAGATCCTGCAGAACAATTAACCTGCTGCAACCGTGTGTGGCAAACTCTCTGCCGTCTGGGATCCACCTGACACTGCCGCTCTCGCACCACTGCATCAGCAGAATGGGCCGAGGTTAATTCGCCGTGCCGGAGCACAATTTCGGCTTTTCCTGCAGCTTTGGCCGACAGACGCTTGCCTTGCATTAGGAAGCCCATGCGCCCCAAACCATGGAAGCATGCGCGTCGCAACGCGCGTCGCTTGTTCTTCTCGCTTTTGTAGGGCCACCGTGAAGCGTCGCCTCGAAGGCGTGCCTTGAACCTCTGCTTGAGAGATTGAGGACAGCCTGCGCCTTTGCAATGATGCTCCCGTTTCCTTATCCGGCTGCTCCTCTCAAGGTGTGTGGGCTTTCCCAAGGCAGAGGCGCCAGCGGAGAGCCATTCTGCGCTCTCACGGAAAGGGCACTCTCCAGGGCTTGAAATCTGAAGCTCCCCAAGTTCTTGTAGGCCTGTTGGGCCTTTTTGGGGCTGCTCAGGTACTTGTACATCAAGGGGCGTGCCGGGTACCCCCCAAAGTACCCCATGCCTCCTGAGCGAGGACACGCCCTGCCTGGTCCACTGGAGGCCTTGCAGAAAGTGCTTTTGCCCCCTAGGCTCGGTGGGGGAGCAGATCGTTGGCTCCTTTTGAACCGCGAGTTCACTGCGAGTCTGCTCAGGTCTGGGCCAGAGTCTGCTTGTAGAGCTGCCAAGCTACAAAGGAGGCTTTGCCCAAGACTCACAGCCCCTGCTGCGTGTAAAAGCCAGAGCAAGATGGTGCTGTCCCAGACCTCATTGCCGAGAACGCCGCGCCGTGTGCCAGGTTCTCTCGGGGTTGACGCGGTGTGGAGAGCGGCAGCTGCTCTTCTCTCAAGCCCCGTATGCTTTCCTGCTCATGCTCGGCAATCACTTGGCAACAGGCCCCGTTGAAAAATGAACGAGTAGTGAAGCATCACAGTGTGCATAGTTCGCGGCAGCTGTCAAGGATTCAGGTGCGTAGTTGCAGTGGCTCTGCACTTGGATCAGTTTGAGGTGAACCATCGTCAACACGGCAAGCTAGTATTTGTCACATGTATGGGATCTTCTGATTTCATGAACTTTCAGATGATGGTGGTTGCAGGGATCTTCGCTGCCTCTTCTCTTCTGCTGTGATACCTAAACGCAAAACCCTAAACCCTAAATTACTAAACCCTCTCTTTCCTCTCTCTCTCTCTCTCTGTATGTATTTTAAGGGGCTGCGCCCATGGGCGGGCAGCGCAGGCAGAAGCGCGGGGCGAGCAGATCCGTCAAGGGTGTAGGGTTTAGGGTTTAGGGTCCTATGCCCGCCCTTTGGGGGGCATCATGCTCCTATGCGCCCCCGGGGTCCCCGGTCCCGGGCTGAACCCGCTGATGCTCATGATGCGCGCCCCTTGGGGGCCATGATGGGGCATCCGCGCCCGTCCCATTTTTCGTGCCTCAACCCACGAAAACCGACCGGGCCGCGAAAGGTCGGCGGCACAGGCGTTCGGCCTTCGCAGAAGGCCAGAGGCCAGCAAGGCTATTCCCTTACACCCGGGTTAAAAGGTCCGCCAATGCTCGGTCCTTGGGGACCTCGCGCTGCCCGATTTTAAGGGGCTGCGCCCATGGGCGGGCAGCGCACGCAGAAGCCCGGGGCGAGCAGTTTCTAAGCATGTCGAGGCCCCTAAACTCCCTTAAAATCTCTAAGAGTTAAGTTTCTAAGCATTTTCAGGCCCCTAAACTCCCTTCAAATCTCTAAGCGTTTGAGGCTCCGAAACTCCCTTAACGTTTCTAAGCACTTTATAAGGCCCCTAAACTCCCTTTTTCCTAGCCCCGGGCTTAGACACGTCGCTTATGCCCGCCCTTTGGGGGGCATCATGCTCCTGATGCCCCCCCGCGGTCCCGCCCCGGGAGCCGCTGATGCTCCTGATGCGCGCCTGGGGGTCCCGGCCTGGACCCGCTGATGCTCATGATGCGCGCCCTCTGGGGGCCTCCGTGGCGACGCAAAAAACCACGAAAAAAAAACCGTTCACCGGCGGCACGCGGGGGTCGGCGGCACTGGCGTCCGGCCTAATTCTGCTTCGCAGAAGGCCAGAGGCCAACAAGGCTATTCCCGGGACGACCCGGGCTAAAAGGTCCGCATTTGCTCGGTCCTTTGGAAACCTCGCGCTGCCCGATTTAATGGCTACCGCCAATGCCGCCGACCCCGACAGGAGGCCCTAGGGTTTACACAAACACCCCCTACATTGCGCTTACATATATCCATAGGTTCTAGAGTTCAGGGGGGGCGAAACATTGAGTCTTCACGCGCAGGGAGTTGGCGCGCAACCTTAAACCCTAAACCTCACACCTTAAACTCGAAACCCTGAACCCTGGGGTGAGGTGGGGGGCTGACACGCTTCATTAGCAAAAGGTTAGGGGTAGGGGTGAGGTGCGCGGTAAGGGGAGGGGGGGCCAAGCAGCGGGAGGGGCGGGCGGGGTGGGGGCGGGGGGGGGCGGGGGGGATGCACTGGAGCCCCTCAAACACTTCATTTCCAAGTAAAAGGCAAAGGGTAGGGGTGAGGTGGGGGGTAGGGGTGCGGGCATGCCCTAAACCCCTGACACACTTCATTTCCAAGTGAAAGGTCAGGGGTAGGGGTGAGGTGGGGGGTAAGGGGTGGGCGGGGGGCCAAGGTACATATACATATACATATACATATACATATACATATACATATACATATCCATGTCAATATGAGTATAAACATAAACATAAACATAAACATAAACATAAACATAAACATAAACATAAACATAAACATAAACATAAACATTTAAACCTTAATGGGGGCCATTGGCGCCCGCTCATTCCCACACGGACTATGATTGCTTTTCTATCCCAAGTATTGCTAGGGTACGATGTAGCCACTTCTCCACCTCCGCAGCCAGAATGGACAACGAATTTATGAGATCAGTCTCTGCTGCAGCGAAAGACAATTGCATGGTGGCTGAAGATCCTGCACAAGCCTTGGTGTTTGGAGTGGGTTGCCGATAGGGGCACTTACAGTGCCTCGCGCAGTTGAAGAAATATGTAAGTAGGGCAGCTATGGTTATAACCGTACTTAGGGTACTTCTAACCCTACCTATAAGTACCCATGACCCTCCAGGTGTTGTTTCTCCAGCCTACAGGTGTCCGACCTTTCCGCAGCTTTAGCCTGGACTTGGCTCGAGTAGCGCGCGACGCGTTTAGTTTTGGGAGAAGAGGGGAGGCATGGTCTGCTCTACAGAGGCAATAGGCATTCTGCTCATGGCGGCATCAGGGCTTGCAGTGACCTGTGAGATGGTCACGAGCAAAACCATCGAGGACATGCACTGGCCGTACTGGTACTTGTTGGCCGCTTGCTGCTTTGTCTCAACTCTAACCAACGGCCTCGCATTGTGGTGGCAGGGAATCAGCTGCCCAATGCTGGGTGATGTGAAGTGGATCCTTGCCCGAGCTCTCTTCGAGAACCTACACTGGATGCTGGCCATTTACGCGGTGCTGGTTGGAGCCGCGCCAGGCGACGTGGCGGCGCTCACAAGCATCGACATCATCGCCGCTGCACTTCTGGGCCTCGTGTTCCTGAGGGAGCGCATCAGCATGCTGCATTTCCTTGCCTTGATCCTTTCAGTTACGGGCGCCCTCTTCATCTCGCAGCCGCAGTTTCTCTTTGGCGTCGCTGAGGGCTCAGAGCAGTCCCCGCTGGGCTACTGCCTGGCGATCTTGTCAGGTTGCTTCCAGGCGGGTGCTTTCGTCTGCGCCCGGAAGTCCACCCACATCCCAGTCTCTTTGCTCACGGTGGTGTCCCTGTGCCTGAGCGTTCCCTTGGCCCTGGTGCCGCCCAGCCTGGGTCTTCATGGGGACGAGAAGGCCGCTTTCAAGCAAGTCCTGGAGAAACCTTGGGAGGCCCTGGCGCTCCTGTCTGTGATGACAGCCTGGGTTCTGCTTTCCATCATGCTTCCGGCGGCAGGTGCCACGAGGTGCCCAGCGGCAGTCAGTGCAACCGTTTACACATCCGCAAGTATGATCTCAGGCTACGTGGCACAGACGGTGCTGCTGGACGATGCCCCCAAGCCGCTGAAGCTGCTGGGAGCCGCCTGCATGCTCTTCAGCGTCGTTATCATGGCAGTCCGATGCCGACCGGCTGAGCTGGAGCCTTGCGCAGAGCCCGAGCCGGCGGCAGAGAGTGTAGCCACAGAGGACGACGAGACGCAAAGCCTCGGATCTTTCGTCGCCTCGGAGGTGTCCTTCACATCGAGCTCCAGCCGCCTTCGTCGGCGCACGGCAGGCTCCAAACCTCTTGCGCAGCGCCTCGGCGCCTGCTTGCCAGTGGCGGCCTTGTCACAGCTCTCAGTCTAACTGGGCTGAAAAAAAAACACACTTGTCTTATCGTGAGTCATCAAGGTCCCTTTTTGTGTGCAGATCACGCATCTTAAGGACAGGGCCCTCGAATGGGCCATGTCGCATCTCTGGCAATGTGCACAAGTCGCCGTTAGCCGTTTGCCGCAGTGATCAAAAGTGCGGCTGCTCGTGGCGCTGGTCGTAGCCTTTTACTACCTTAAACCCTAAACCCTAAACCCTAAACCCTGAACCCTGAACCCTGAACCCTGAACCCTGAACCCTGAACCCTGAACCCTGAACCCTGAACCCTGAACCCTGAACCCTGAACCCTGAACCCTGAACCCTAAACCCTGAACCCTGAACCCTGAACCCTAAACCCTAAACCCCAAACCCTAGTTCAGAGCGGCGCTCCCGCAACATCCTGTTGTCGGGCAGCCCCGACCCAGCCCGTAAGCAAAGTCACCCTTCCATACTTGAAGGTTCATGGGTGGTTATAAGTAGGATTTAGGGTTTAGGGTTTGGGGGTTAGGGTTTAGGGTTTAGGGTTTAGGGTTTAGGGTTTAGGGTTTAGGGTTTAGGGTTTAGGGTTTAGGGTTTAGGGTTTAGGGGTACGTAGAAGTAGGGTTATAAGTGGGGTAGGACCTTACTTTGGGTACCGTATAGCCCTATTTACAAGCTCCAAGAAAAGTCTGTGCGCCTGCTGGTATGTCCCGCGATGAGGGGTTTACGATAGCAGGGGTGCCTTCTTGGGGTCCTGATGATAAGGGGATCCTACCATTTGGGGGGGTCTCTGTTCGGGGTCCCTGACTATCGTAAACCCCCAGTTGCAGGGTTTTCGAAAATAGTGTACAGTGCCCAATTTCTAGGGTTCCGATAATACGGATTGTCGATTAATTTGGGGTAGCTTAGGGGGACTCCCTTCTTTCGGAAACTCCAAGTGAACCTCAAACCCCTACGCTGAAGGTCTGAGGGAAGTAAATCTTCACTGCGTTGGCGCGCTTGAAGCCAGTTTGGCCCTTCTTGATTGTGCCAGCTGGGGTTTAGGGTTTAGGGTTTAGGGTTTTGGGTTTAGGCCTTACGTAAAAGAGGCAAGTTCTCTTTCCCCGAGCTGAAGAGAAATCGGAATCACTCGTTTGCCACCTTTATGCAACGGCAACATAAACCCGTGTTCCATGGTCTTGTCCGCCATTTGCTGTGGCAGTAGAATGCTTCCCTAAACCATAAACCCTAAACCCGAAACCCGAAGCCCGAAACCCTAAACCCTGTAGGCGCGGAAGCTTTCGGGAGGGCGAAGCCCAAGCACACTTTGGGGTTCAGGGCTTGAAGCTTCGGGTGTGGGAGGAAAGCTCCGGGGTTGACTTTTAAGGGTGTACAGGCTTAGCATAAAGGCGGCACACGTTGTGGGGTTCCGGGTTTAGGGTTTAGGGTTTAGGGTTTAGGATAAGACCAAACCAATGTGTGCCTTTGATTATGGGACCAAGGCGTCTGCGAGGTGTCGTAGAGCACGGTCTTCATGGTAGCCTCGAGAGCATGATTCTCGAACTCTTCCACGGCAGCTGCAGAAGAACTCCTCAAAGTAGACCCAGAACCCTAAAACCTCAAAGCCTCAAAAAAGAGCGCGCCTTTACTCTCACATACTCTCGCCGTCCTTTGGGGCCCTAAGTGGCCAGCGATGGCGGCGGTTGCCACGGCGTTGGCCGACTATGCGGGGCAGCTGTCGAAGAACGCGCCCAGGAGGGCGGGGATTTGGAAGCATCAAACCCTAAACCCTAAACCCTCAACCCTAAGGGGTTGAGGGTTTGGGGGATTATAGGGGTGGGCTTGTTAAGCCCCTCTTCTAGGGTTTGGGGTTGTCTAGTGGGGTTCTTTAGGCGGTTCTAGGGTTTAGGTCCTGAGCTTTTCGTTTTCGGTACCCAGAGGGCTCATGATTTACTTCAAGCCCCAGAGCCCGAAGTAAACCCTAAGCCCTAGACACTATACTTTGGGATGCTCCCCCGTAAACTAAGAGTCCTTAATGGGGATTGCAGTAGGGGGTTACTATACTCCCAATTAAGGACCTGTTAGTATAAAGGGGGAACATCCCTAAACCCTAAACCTTAAGCCCTAAACCCTAAGCCCTAAACCCTAAACCCTAACCCTAAACCCTAAACCCTAAACCCTAAACCCTAAACCCTAAACCCTAAACCCTAAACCCTAAACCCTAAACCCTAAACCCTAAACCCTAAACCCTAAACCCTAAACTCAACCTATACCATCCTAAGCCCGAAGGAATGCTGCGTGAGAGGTGGGTTTCAAAGCGCTCTCCTACAAAGTAGGATCCTTGCAGTCCGAAATCCCTACAGCGTAGGGTTTAGGGTTTAAGGTTTAGGGTTTAGGGTTTAGGGTTTAGGGTTTAGGGTTTAGGGTTTAGGGTTTAGGGTTTAGGGTTTAGGGTTTAGGGGTTTAGGCTTTAGGGGTAGGGTTAGGGTGTACGGTTTAGGGTTTAGGGCTTAGGGTTTAGGGTTTAGGGTTTAGGGAGCAGCTTGGCAAGAACGGTACTCGCCTGAAAACGCCACCCAACGCATGTCCCCTGTTCTTTTTTTCCTATGTGGGGAGTTCCGAAAACAGAGGCACCCTTTTTGGGGTTCATACTTTCAGGGGATCCTACTATTTGGGGATCTCTGTTGGGGGGTCCCCTATTTTCGTACAGCCCCATGTGGCCATTTTCTCCAGGACTGTTGCCGGCGTCGCGCAGCTCTTCACCATGAATCTTCTTCGAACTTGGAGGTATGATGTTTTGACAGGATTATTTTTCCCTCAGACTTCCTTCTCCTTGACGCCACGCGCCCCAAACCTCAAGAAGGAAGACATGAACCCTGAGAAGCCAAAAAGCCGTCTGGAAGCGGAAATCCCCGCGAACTTCGAAGGAAGTATCGGGGCCTTCAAGGCCATCAGCCCCCCAACAAAAACTCAGGTATGTGGTGCCGGCGAAGGCCTTTGTAGAGATGATGGTGCTCAAGCCTTTCGAGGTTCTCCTTCAGGAGGGAGGGTCCTAAAGCCTTAAACCAGAAACCCTAAACCCTAAACCCTAAACTCTTAACCCTTAAACCCTGATCCCCAAACCCTAAATCCCAAACCCTAAACACTCAGAAAGGCGAGGCCAGAGTGGTGGAGGGTGGTGCTTGCTTGCTCTGCTTACATGGGGGTTTACGAGAACAAGGGACCCCTAGTATATAGACTCCCAAAATAGAAGGATCCTCATATAATAAGGACCCCAGTCAGGTACCCCGAATATCGTAAGCCCGCACATTAGCTCCAGGCATTTTGAGCCAGAGCGTCCCCCCGCCACATTGCTTTGGTTTTTGTTGGTTTAGAGGGCGAGGGGGGGCCACGGCTTGCCAGTGTTCAGGGTTGTGCTGCGAAGCTGCTAAGCTGCCATGGCGCTTTCGAGGATGTAGGGGAACGACGTCTCAACTTCCCCCCCGAAGGAGGGAGTCCTGATTGAGTTTGACGAGCAGCAGGGGCACGCCCTGTTTGTGTCACACCAGTGGGTGACATCAGAGCCCCGGATGCCTTGGTGCAGGGTTTGGAGGGTTTAGGGTTTAGAGGGCTTAGGGTTTTAGAGGGTTGAGGGTTTAGGGAGTTTAAGGTTTGGAGGGTTGTCTTTCGTTAGTGGTTGCCTTGGTCTTTCGCATTTGGTTTCGCTAGTGTTGCGGTGCCAGGGGACATTGCTTCCAGCATCCAGTCAATTGCCTGGGCAAGAGAGTAACAGCTACTACCCAACAGGGCAGCCCTAAACCCTAAGCCCAAAACCCAAAACCCCAAGCCCTTAACCACAAACCCTTGCGTTTCTTTGACACCTGAGCTGAAGCCCAGGAACATCCGGACCCCAGCATGGAGCACTTCCGGGTGCTCCAAGAAGCCTTGCCACTGGGCCGCCCTTTTGGTGTGCGTAGGGTTTAGGGTTTAGGGTTTAGGGTTTGGGGTTTGGGGTTTGGGGTTTGGGGTTTGGGGTTGAGGGTTTAGGGTTCTCTTGTTGCGTTGCTTCGAAATGGGGGCAAAGGGGGGCCGTGTTTTTTCCTCATTTTGTCGGAGACAAAAAGAGGAAGCAAAAATGGGTTGCATGGAACTTGTCTCCTGGGGGTGTCAGTATCTACTGCATGTCCAAACACCCCCTTGCAGAATTGTAGATGTTGTAGGCCCCGCAGGAAATCCTACCATCTCAACACCCGTGCACCCTAACTAACCCCTCAACCCCAGAACCTTTAAACCCTAAATCCCAGACACCCTGAACGCCAACCCACCTTAGACCCTAAACCCTAAACCAAAGCCACACAGCAGAACACCTTTCGCACTCTACCAGGCTCCCAAGCCCAAACGACGAATCCCACTTCTTCGTGGTTCTGATCCCAGTTTGTTTTGAGCTTCGAAATGTTAAGCAAGACCTTAGTATAATGTATGTATGTCTGTATGTGTGTCTGTATGTCTGTATGTCTGTATGTCTGTATGTCTGTATGTCTGTATGTCTGTATGTATGTATGTATGTATGTATGTATGTATGTATGTATGTATGTATGTATGTATGTATGTATGTATGTATGTATGTATGCATATATGTATGTATACAAATATACGCACATATATATATATATTATATATATATATATATATATATATATATCCATACATGTATTCATTGCAGATAGTAGAGCATGCCGTTCCCTTGGAAGGAAGAACCTCCTGGCCGGTGTTTCCTGGGTTCACGGGAGCCCCGGCTTGGAGTTTGTGCACGGCCGCCCCGTCGGCCTCCCGGAGCTCTCCTCGAAACCTCTGCCGCTCGGAGGAGTGGGAATATAGGGTTTAGGGTGTAGGGTTTAATTAGGGTTTAGGGTTTCGTTGCGTTTAGGGCTTAATTAGGGTTTAGGGTTTAGGGTTTTTGGGACCCGAAACCCGAATCTCCGAAACCCTGAACCCCAAACCCGACACACCCCTAAACTAAAGGGTTTTTTGGGGGTTTTGGGTTTCTTCTTTTGGGTTTT